CACACACACACACACACACACTTACATCAGACCCACAGTACACACACACACACACCTGCTCCGCCTCGAGTTTAATCTGTTCTACCATTCAATCTCCCGACTTTTCTCTTAATTTCTGCCCAAATACCACTGTCTTTGCTTCCGGTTTGCATCATTTCTCCACACGACAGCAAGAGATGCCTAACCAGAGCCTCTGCCTCCATTCTTGACCTGTGCAATTGCCTTTGTTATTATTCAGATACATACAGGTTTTTTGTTTAATATTGTTTTTATTCATATACATACAGGTTACTATCTTTCCAGTTTCTGATGTATGAGCAAACCTAAACTCCCGTGGCATGACATAAGAGGCCTGTCATGGGTAAACCCCCGTGGGGGATGGGGGGGAGGCGGGGGAGGAAGAGAGAGAGAGATCTTGGAGAATTCCTCAAATGTATCTAACAGCCACCTACAGCGTTTTTACATTTTTCAGTTCCCTTTTGTTCTTCAAACGTCCTTTTCTTGTGATCGTCATATTCTTGCTTCACAGATATTTTTTTCTTATCTCTCAGGATATTAATAAGATTTTTGAAGTTTTCTTCTCTCTGAATAGACTTGATTTCTCTCGGCTGCTTTTTGCTATTAAATTGGCCTCCGTCTGCTATATTGGTTGACTATTCACTGACACTTAAGAGTAAGGCTTTAAAAACCTGAAATCAATAGGAAGCTCTCAGCTTGTGGGCGGGACTTGTTGCCTGAGAGCTTCTGTATAGGAAGATCTGGCTGAGCTGTTGGATGGAAACCCATAACTTCATTATCTATAGGTCATTCTTTCTTGCTGGTCAAATTCCCTAAAGAAATACTTTAAATGCTTCCAGGCACAGCTTAAAGTATTTTGGGACTCAGGTAGGAGAAAACACAGGCTGAAGTATTACATTTGTTTTATTCAATATCCCTGACAGTACCAGTCTTAGTTTAGGTTTTCTAAGAAGCCGGCCCTGGAAACAAGGATTTGAGTGCAAGTGGTCTATGAAGGAGGTCCTGGGAAACACAAAAGTTCAGGGGAGTGAGTCAAGGAAGGAAAGAAAGCCAATACAGGTTTATTATCCAAGATTCTAACACTGTGGTTAACTGGAGCTTAATTCTACTGGAGTATTTTAGAGGCCAGGGAAAAATCCGTACCTCAGAGTTATCCCACAAGGGTAAGGAAGATGGGATTTATATAGCAACTTCCATCATCAATAATTGGGTGAGGGCTGCTCCTGGGGCCTGCACCCCAGCCTGCCACACGGGCAGCAAGGCAGGCTCTGGTATCCAGAAAAAGCAAAGAAATGCAGGTGCTAGCAGTTAGGAGTCCAGCTAGTGTGGGTTGGTAAGGGTAATGCACCCCTTCAGTAGTTCTATTTTGCTGGGTGTGCATTCAATCTGTTCTTACTAATGTCCTTTCTCTGATTGGGGGCACCTAAGTGGTTTTCTTAGTTTTCCCACTTGGAGCTCAAGTCTGCTTTTTGACTTCTCTAAGTGACAGCAGTGAAACAATGGTGCAAGGTCAATTGGTGCTTACCCCTGAGGGCCAAGGGTACAGAAAGAAGCAGGTCACCAGGCACCTGCTGAAGGACATGGAGGAAGACTTCCTACTACCTTTATAGTCTCCCAGTTCAGGGACAGCTGTATAACTCCTCTTTGGCTCTTAGGGCCCAGAAAATCCCCAAGCTGTCACACAGTGCTAAACCAGTCTCCCCTTTTAAGATTTTCAGAGATGTCAGTGATTAAGCATCTTCCAAGCTACTTTTTTGCCCACTTCCCATCCTTCCCCTGCCTCCTTACACACAGATTTCTAGGAGCTGGACTAGTTACATAATAGGGCAACCTTTACAGCTTCCCTCTGAGCCATGGCTTCCAAGGAACACAAGGTCTCCTTCCTATCCAACTGTTCACAGGCCCAGCAGCCACTGGTTTGAGAAAGACAAATAAATTCGAGTTTGGAATTGAGGGACTAGGAGATGCTAGGGTTTTACAATTTTTTTTATAATTTTCAAAATTTTCGTAGTTTTAAAATATGCTATCTCATTTAGTCATAAAAACTACATGAAATAGGCAGAGATCAATGAGGCTTATAAAGATTAAATGACTCAGATTTAATGATTAATAACAATATATAATAAAGTCAGGATTAGAATTCAGTTCTAAACTCACAGCAGGAATTCTGCTTTAGGGAGAATGACACAATAATAATTATTACTGATGTCTCTACAGCATATTATAGTATAACATCCTTTTCAAACACAATAATCCTCACAACAAAACAAACTGTCATCAAATCCTTAAAAAGTATTTAACTTGCTTATTTGACAACTTTTAAATTGAGTGAGGTTAAATTAAATCTCTTAAAGCTTTTTCACATCCCAACAAAGTTCTTATGGTTCAACTCAACGTTTATGGATCAACATGTATTTGCCCCTTCTATTAGTCCCACTCTCTCCTTCTACTATGTCATCTCTCATAGCATATAAAATGTTTTAGAACATCGAACAAAAAACAAACAAACAAAAACCTCCCTTGATCTCTATCGTAGAGTCTTGTCAGATGCTGATTAATCCTGTTTCCTTTTCCTGGATTCACAAGTCCCCTCGCATTTAGACAGAACAAGAATGAGTTCTGTCCAGCAGAATGAGAATTAAAGTGATGTACCCAGCTTCCAAGCAGAGCTCCTGAAATGCCTCATGTAATTTTTATGCTCTCTCTTTTCATCTCTTCTCAACTGAAAGCAAAGACCTCTTGAGCTGGTGGAGCCACACTGTGGAAAAAGCACAGATCCCTGAGTTTACGACTTGGAAGAGAGCTACCCTGGAGCATTTGCTCTAGATTCTGCATGAGCAAGAAATAACCTTTTGTTGTATAGAGTATTCTGATTTTTATTGCACACACACACTGTTCTCTATAATCAGTCTTCCCCATTTCAGTGAACACACCTTGCAGTGGATGTACTTGTTTGCCTGCCCAGCACCCATTCACCAAGGCCAGCTCATGGGTGTGTGAGTAAACCGGACATTTGCACAGAATCCTGCACTCAGAAAGGTCCCATGTTAAGCTTAATGCTCTGCAGTCACCATCCTGAAATTCTTAATAATTTTCTCTTTGAACTTGTGTTTTGTAAGTGGAATTGGGTGGGGCCGTGGTGCATACACGTGAGCAGAGGTGACATGCAATATGCATGCCACCCACTCCTTGCAACTCCATTTGCATGAGAGTGTTTGCCATGTACCTTGTGTAAACAGAACTTCACTGAACTCACAATGCATGAAAGTTCAGCAAGATTCAGAGCAAGAACAATAGAAGCATGTGACAACTGAGTGAGTGGGATCACTGTCGGCCCTAAGAGGTCAAGCTTCCTGTGAATCAGCACTTGTTTCAAATGCTAAAAAAAAGGAAAGAAGGAAGGAAGGAAGGAAGGAAGGAAGGAAG